GGATGTGCCAGGCTGCCTGCCCCCACCTAGGCAGCTGTAAGCCCCGCTCCCTGCTCAGCAGCCGTACCTTCCCTACAGCACAGCCACCACCTCCTCTGGCTGCCTACTTCTATACCCCTCCCCAAATACAAAAGTCCCCCCTTTTGAGCGGTTTTGACCCACGCCGGGGGGAAATGCAGGACAGGCTGTGACCTTCCTCTCCTGCCTTCCCTCTCGCAGAGGTTGGGGCAAGAGCTAAAACCAGCGACCGCAAAGAGGAACCCCCCCCAAGGAAAGCTAGCCCCTGTTTGCATTGCTGAGCAGTTACTGCCGCGTAGACGCCGCCAGAAATAACTTTATCTCCAGATGCAGGAGTAAACAGGCCAGCAATGAGAAGGGAGAAGGTTTACCATGGCAAGCCATAGGGAAATGACCTTGGCAAAACAACATCAGGTGAAGGGCTGGGCCCGGGAAGGGCCGTGGCCACCTGCTTTCCTGGAACTAGGGCTGGGGATGGCAAGAGGCTGATGCCTCCTCTGCCAGCGGGGAAGGAGGTCGGTGAGCCCTGCGGAGCCCTCCTGCCTGCCCTTCCCTCCGCAGGAGCAGCCGAACGTCTCTGCTGGACTGTGCTTTTCTGAGGTTTGCAGAGGCTCTGCTGGACCTGTGCTCCTGGAGTAGCAGCAGCCAAGGAGGGGGTCCGTGGGGATTCACCCCTCAGGAAAGCAGTCCTCCATCCTGCCCTGCTCCTGCCCCCTTCGCCTCCACGCATTTCAGCTGCTCCTGTAGCCTGGGGTTGGGGTGGCACATGCAGAGCAACTTTGTGGAGGTGTGGATGTGCAGCGAAATGAGAGGAGCAAACTGGGAGCGGTTCCCTTTGTCGCAGAGCATCAACCATTGGGGAAACTGAGGCAGAGAGAGCAGCTGGCTGGGAGGACTGCTGTAATTGTGGGAAGGGTCACAAGCTGCTCTCAGCAGCGTAGGCAAAACTTTCTCTGTCCCCAAAATGAAGGCTTGGGGCTGGGTGCCTCCTGCCGTGGGAAGAGAAGAGCATGGCACAGGGACCGCTGCCCGTACCTGGCTGCAGCCCCGTGCCCTCCACATCTCGGGCTCCCTGGACCTGTTGGAGGTACGCAGCAGCACAGCTCCTCTCTCAAGCCTGCCTCCTGGGTTTAAGGTGTTTGCTTGACCCATGATTTCACTCGCAATAGAGGTGCTACCGCCCAGCTCTGCCTGAGCATCCCCTAGCAGGATGCTCCCCTCCGGCACAGGGCAGCGATGCTGCTGCCAGCACGTCCCGGGCAGCGCGAGAGCACAGGGCTGGGATGGCTCCTGTGGGCAGCAAACGTAACCCGAGCGATGGGCTTTCAGGCAACCAATTCAAGGCTCTTTACCAACAGCAAAAAAAGGGCCTTGATCTACTTTTGTGGGTTTTTTTTTTTTTTTTATTTTATTTTTTTTTTATTGAGCACTGCCCTCCTGTGCTGAGGGAGGTATCTGAAAACGTTTAGCTTTAATGAGGGGCTTATCCAGCCCTTTCTCAGGCAACTCCATGCATTTAAAAATCATCAGTCATGAGAATGGCTTGGGAAAAAAATCCTGGTGCACGTTGTTTACTCATGCAGTAGCACGCAGTTTCTCCTTCAGCTGCTGCGTGTGCTTGTGCTGAAATGAGCTGTGATCTGTTGCTCACTGCTGGTTCAGGAACATCGTTGTCAAATCACATGCCATTTCTGTGTGCAGATGTGGCAGTATGCGTTGTTTTCTGGTTTTGAGGTGTTTTTCTTTTTTTTTTTAATCTTTACAGGTGACCGTAATCATCCGTGGATGGCAGAGCATTTATCTACTGCCCCACAAGAGCAGGCGAAGCCCAGGACCTGCTGTGTCAGTGGCTGCAATAAACCCCATCCTCAAATAACCACATGTTTCCAGGGTAGCAGGGCTTTAGAGGGAACAGCAAATATTGTGAGACTGGCCGTCAAACTGCGAGAGTTGATTTCCTTGTATTCTTAGGGAAAAATAACTCTGATTTATTTGGATTCATTAATTCATTATTTAGACGTTTTCTGCTTAGTGAACCAGGGAGAAATGACATTTTGCAGAAAAAACCTGAAAATTATAGCAGAGGTGCATTGAATCATTTCTGTTTGAGCTGAGAATTACAGGCTGCTGTTTAAAAAGTGACCTTTTGATTTTTACCATCACCCAGAGGTGGCTGGGCAGGATTTGGGAGGGGGCGAGAGCCCTGGCAGCACTCCCTGCCGGCAGCTCACCTGGCCTTGGTGGCTGTGTCCCAACATGCTCAAACAAGAACTGGCTTAAAAACAGGATTTTCAGTACACAGAACATGTCTTATCTATGTCAATCGACAAACGTGGTTTTAAAGTCTACGTGAGCTTTGTGTCACTCCTTTTTTGGCACATCCATCGCAGAGGTGAAAAAAGTCACCAAAAGATGCAGACCAGGCCATGTTCATTCTGCAATTTGCAGACCCGAGAGGTGACTGAAGAGCATCCTTGACTTTAATTTTATTCTCAGCACTTGTAGGGGCTGAGGGAGCGGGTGAGAGGCTGCCTTGGTCCTGCTGCCTTTCCTGCTGCTTGTGGGGAGGCTTTCCCCCGGGCAGGAGAGGGGAGCACCCTCTGCCATGCAGCCTTTTGCCCCTGCACCCCCAAGTCTGCCCCGGTATCGCATTGGCCTGGGTTGGGAGGACAGTCAACTGGTGACGATGGTGGCTTGATGCTGGGGAAATCCTGGTCCAGGGTGAGCAGAGGAGGTATGGGGCTGGCAGGAGGAATGATGAGTTACAGGGAGAGAATTTGGGCTTTGGTTTTGGGGAGGTTGAGAAGAGGTATGGCCTGGTGGGTGCCTGGGGCTGCAGACCCAGCAGTAATGCCGACAGCACCCCCGCGCATCCCGTCAGCGAGCGGGCGCTGCTATGGCCAGGGCTGGTCCATCGGCAGAGCGGATGGAGCTTAGAGCTGGGCAAAAGCAAAGGGACAGAATTTAACCCAGGATATAATATACTGTAATATTGTTTTCAGTGCATGGAGTCACTTTTTTTTCTTCTTTTTCTTTTTTCTTTTCTTATTCTAAGCAGCCTGAAGTGAGGTGCCCTCAAGCTGCAGCAACCGGGCTCCCCCCGCACAGACGGGCCCAGACAAGCTCCACACCTAGACGAGCACATCTTTATTTTCAGTTCCACACATACACAACTAAACTGTCCGTACCTCACCTGGACACGTCACCTAAACCACCGCTCCTTTCCAGTTGCCCTCCTCACCCCGCCGTGGGACGCGTGTTCCCTCCGCACACTTGTGCGAGGCCGTTAGAGGGCATTTGAGTTTCATTTTTCAATCGCCCAAGAATTATCGCTGCGAGAAAGTAAAGGCAAAGCTGCCAACAGCTCTCCTGCACCACTTGCATAGCTGGAGCAGCTCCAGCCCGTCGGGAGATGGCCCCGACTCATCTTTGCGATTCGTTTTCTTTTTTTCCCTGCTTTTCTTTTGGCCTTGGCTGGCAGGTATGTGCTTGGATGGCAGGCGGTATGTCTGGTGCTGCGGAGCGGTGTCTCCTGCAACGCCCGCCAAGGCCCTGCCAACCCGCCAGTGCTTTGGAGAGGAGGAGGCCCAGGCGGAGCAGGAAGGTTCGTGTTTATCCTGGAGAGATGCGGGGAAGGTGAATTAGAGCTGCCATCAGGAGGATGTCTCTGCCCATGCCCGGGAAGGCGGCTGCTGGGTTGTGGGGTTGGATATCGTGGGATGGCTGAGATCGTGCACGGTCGAGCTGCTCAGCCTGGCGTGATGGTGACTTGTGGTGTGCAGCCCGATGTACCTGCTCCTTCCCCGGGGGGCCAGGGTGTGAGGGTTCCCCCCTGGGGATTTGGGTTTCCAGGTGCTGGAAATGGTCTCTCTCGCAGCCCCCGAAGAGCAGAGCTGTGTGTGTGATGTGATGGAGGAGCAGCATCACCTCTCCAAAAGCCCCACCGCTCTGGGGAAGGACCAATTCCTGGTTTCTCAGGTGGGTTCACACTTGGGGCAGGGTTTCCCCATTTCCCGTTTCATTCAGCCTGAGAAACTCGGGGATGCTGCCCAGTAACCCTACCTGGGGCAGTGGGGCGCACAGAGGGGACAGGTGCTGGGTGACATGGGGATCTTGTTCTCTATTTCCACCCTCCTTTGCAGCCAAAGTCCATCAGTTCTTCCCCAGTTTTCCAAGGGACACATCCTTCATCTCCACCGAAACCATGGTGCCATGAGCTTGTGCCAGACTCTTTGCCAGGACAAGGCGTTGGCTGCGGGATGTGACCGAGGTAGGCACAGCTACAAACGACCTCCTCTTCCCCTCTGGAAAGGCAGAGCAGAGAGTGATGGGGTGATGGAGCGGGGTGGTGGCATGTTCCCCACGTCTAGGGAGCAGGGGCATATGGCAGTGCAGGTGCCTGGCCCCAGAAAGCACCAGCTGCTTGTGAGCAAGGCAGTTTTGTACCATGTTGGCACTGGGGCTGTGCCAGGCTAATTAAAGGGGTGGCAGAGTCACCTCTCAGGTGTACCCAGGGAGCCAGGCAGGAGCTGCAAATGCATCTCTGGCCATAGGGGCAGGTTGAGCTCACCTGTGTGGCTCAGGGTTATGTGGGACCCACGGTGCTCTTGGATTCAGACATCCAGAGACCCCCAGAATTCAGGTCAGCACCTGCCATCAGCTGTTTTCCAGGCAAAGTGTCAGGAGATAGTTTATCTGTCCCTGAGACACGGTCAGCTCACGGCTGAGGAGGGGTGATAGGGTGCCCACAGGTAATTGGGGGGGTCCCATGGCTCGTATTGGCTGGCATTTCCCTTTCTTGGTCAAACCTGTTGCCCAGAGGCACCAGCATCACCGAGGCCCTCACTTACCGCCGGGGATGCTGCCGGCAGAGCCGGGCAGGGTCTGGCCATGCAGAGCCGCCTCTCAGTCTCCAGCCGGCAGTAGCGGTTCTGGTTGGAGACGCGGGTAGAGAAGCCCACGCCACAGGTGACCGAGCAGGCGCTCCACTCCATGCCCCACTCCTGGCAGGGGTACGGCAGCGGTGGGGACGCTGCCCTGGGGGCTGGATGAAAAGAGATGAGGGGGAAAAAAGGTGGTTAGAGCTGGGAGCTGTGCAGCGTGCCCTGCGGGTGCTGCGGGCATAGCCCTGCTTGGCAGAGAGATGTGCAGTGAGGTGGCTCCTGTTGATGTTCACGGTCTGGGGCGAAGGGACCAGCCCAGAGACCTGCATGAGCATCCCCTCACTGGTACGTCCTGCATCTTACCTGCCCCAGCATCCCGGAGGAGGTGCTGGTCCCGGGTTTCACAGATCCACTCAGGGCAGCACTTCCCTGGGACCTCCACACGTCGTGGGTAGGGGCAGTCCGGGGTGGGCAGCCGGACGGTCTCCTGGCAGAGCGGGATGCAAGTGAAGCCCCCATCCAGGCAGCGGCACTGGAGTTTGCAGCTGGGCTGGAAAACCTCCCCGTCTCGATAGACCCGGCCGTTCACCTCGCAGCCTTCCTCGCTGTCTTCAACTGCAAGCGACAGCCAAAGAGCCAGTTAGGGAAAAAACAACGGAGATGTGGATGGCAGAGGGGACTGGTGGGGGGAACCGTGGGGCTGGCGTGAAGGGACTGAACTGGGGGGCCACAGAAGTGACTGAGAGGTACGTGGGGCAGACATGGGTTTGCAGCAGTGTGTACATCACAATTTGTTTTTCCAAAGCAACAGCTCACCAGTTGGTGAGAAACCCACTGCCCTTTGGCTCTGACCCTGCCTTTCAGGGTTTTCAGGCTAGAATCTCTGAGATTTCTCTGCAGAATGCCCAGCCTCCAGCCCTGGCAGGGTGACTGTAGCATCCCCGGGATCCCTGCCTCCATCCCCACTCAACCCACCCTGAATCCCCACTTGGTAAACAGCACAAGAGCTGGCTGGAGCTGCAGCACAGCCCCATGGCCAAGCTGCATGCATCAGCCCCAGTAAAGCTGCTTTCCTAGCCTTAACCGCTTCCCTGAAAGCGCTATGGGATGCCTGGAGCTGGCCAGGGCCATGGCCGGAGCTGGGATGCATGCTGGGCTGGCGGTGCAGGGGCATTCCCGGGGGGCAGTGGGCACCGCTGTGCTCACAGTTGCAGGTGGCTCCTGTCCCCACGGGCACCGTGCTGTAGTCACAGACGAGGCCTTGGCTCTGGTCACAGACGTGGAGGAAGTCGCAGGGCTCTCCCAGGCGCCGGGCACAGATCTTGCAGCAGCCGCAGCCGTCCAGGACCAGGGGGGACCCGCGGGGGCAGCGGGGTGGCACCCAGGGGCAGTAGCATGGCCTCCGACACAGCTGGGCACACACCTGTGGAGGCAAAGCCATCACTGATTCCATACAGGTTGGTTTTTTGCTAATGGTTGTTATTTCACTGGGACAGCCAGGTAACCTTCTGTCAGTCCTGGGGGCAGATTTTTGGTGGAGGGAGGCTCTACAAATCCATGGGAATATGGCAAAGCAGCCTGGAAAGCTGATGTTCCCTTAGGGCACATTGTGATGGGCACCTATGGAAAAGCAGGAAGAATCAGGGATGCTCAGCACCCTGCAGGATGGGAACTTAAACGCACCACTGCTCTGAATACACAGAAGGAGGATGGAGCTACCAGGGGAACATCCCAGGCAGCGGTGGTTATTAAAGGGGCTGGCTGCCCTAAGCAGCCCAGCGGGACGGAGGGAAAGCAGCCTGCCCCCAAGGCAGTTGTGCCCAGCTGGAGATGTGGCTTTGCAGGGGCTGAATGCACATGGTGAGGGCACAGCACCTCACTTCAAACAGTCTTAACAGCTCTCATTCGTGCCAAGAAACAGGGCATCACATCAGCAGCGGGGTGGACTGAAGCCAAGCGAACCTCGGTGCTTTTCTTCCCGGTCCAGCTGCCTCCTTTGCCTGTCCTGGCTGCAGCATCCTCTGCTCGGCGAGGAGCCCTGAGATGGGCACGTTTTCGAGGACTGGGAGTTACATTTCCCCTCCTAGTTAGACTGAGTAATCACTTGGACAGGGCTCTGCAACCCAGTCGTTTGCCTGCTCAGCTGATTGTTTGCCAGGGATGTGCCTGCAGGAGTTCACCTGGGCAGGTAGATGTTTATATCCACAGCTCATTCCTCTTGCACGATTACCCTGGCACAAACAGCATTTGCGGGCAGCACTTGTGCTCCCGTCATGTCATATCTGACAGGGCTGTTGCATAAAAAGCCTGAAGCCAAGTGAGTTGGCTCTGCAGTCTGGAAGTGAATTCTTTGCCAGGACTGGCCTGACAGTACCAGTGAGCCCCACCAGCATCCCTGAGCTGCCCTCCAGCATCCCTGCAGCCCAGCACCACACACGCTCTGCTTGCTGCATGGCCAGCACGTGCAGCATAGGCAGCAGTTCAGCAAGCATGCAACCAAAAAAATTCATCCCTGTGCTGGTCCAGACACTGGTGTGTCTGCTAGGGCTGCCAAGAGATTGAGGAGTTCAGCTGGACCATGAGGATCTTAGATACCATTTTTCTTTCTCTCTTAGTTTCTCGCAGTAGCATCAGGACCGGTTAGACAGAGAAGGTCGGTACTGGTGTGCTATCTGTTCCCCATTTGCAGCAATTCAGATGTTTTTTTGTGGGGCTGTAGAAATATCAGTGCCAGCAACTAGAGATAAAAGATACCCGAAATGGGCTGGGCAGTCTGGGTCTTGTTCTAGTTTTATGAATGAGCAGCATTACTAGTGTGGCAGAAAGCAGAGAGACTCGCGGCAGGGAGCGAAGGACTGGCTGTGGTGGCCAGGTTTGGGCTGGAGGCACGAGGGCCGTTGGTGATTGTCCAGGTACTCACGAGTGCCTGGAGCAGGAGTCATTTCTCTGGCACAGCTTACCCAGGCAGCCAGGGGCATTTTTCATCTTTCAGGAGCTTGCTATTACAAATCAGTGTTTTAGAAAGATTAGCCAAGCCATTAATCCATTTCCCCTTGCTCCTTGTAATTAACTCGTCTTTAGATGACAATGTGGCTCCTATCAGAGGTCTTAACTGTCTGGGAAAGGACTCAACTAGGCACCACGCTGCCATGATGTCCCTGCTTGCAGAAAGTCTGCTTTGGGATTCAAGCAGCAATTAGAACTTGGAGCTGAGATGATACCCCAACCTTTTCAACTTTCCTGCTCTCTGCACAGGCAACTATTTTCACACAGAGTCCAAGAGAAAAAAAAAAAAAAAAAAAAAGAGAAAATCACTCCCACAACCCAAATCCTGTTGGAAGCATTGGCTTTGCCCGAGCATCCCGGGGTGGGGGAAGAGCTGAGTAATGCCGAGGCTGGTGCTCGCTGCTTGGCCCCCTTCCTTGGGAGCCTGGGCAGGGACCAAGGAGTCTGCAGGAACGGCTACCGCCGAGCTGCTGCTCGCTGGCTCGCAGGGACACATACCAGAACCCCGGGAGAGCTGCAGGGACGGGGCGAGCAAAAAGAGCACATTGCTGTCATTCCTCCGTGCTCTGTGGACTCGCAAAACGGATGCCTTTGGCCCATGAACGTTAAGACCCTGCTGCTTAATTGCAGCTGTCTCTCCCAAGCATAGCTCTGTCCCCGTGGGACTGCATACACACAGCCTGTCTGCCAGCCGGTGTTAGCCACCGGGCTCGTTGGAACACCCCGGTCCTCCCTGCATCTCACTTTGCAAGAACCGAGTGCCTCCCTGAGCAAGGCTAGAGCCACCTCAGGGCCCCGTGTCCCTTACCTTGGAGAGGAGGCAGAGGAAGGAGAGGAAGAGGAGCTGCTTCTCCAGCTGGAGCCTCATGCTGCACTTCAGCACATCACCCCCCAGGCAGTTTGGAGGCAGCGGCGTGTTCGCAGGTTTTAAAGCCCCAAGTAGGTCCTGCTGGTGTTTATACTCTCCCTGCTCTGATGTCACTCACAGGCTCCAATATAAACACGAGTAGGTTTGGACAAGCCTCAAGATTTTTTTTTTTCTTTCTTTCTTTCTTTTTCCAGCCCACATTCCAGCTGCTATTTCCACTCCCCTCAAGGTGAGAACGTGCTGTCCACCGAGACAGCAAGGGATGGGAAGGGAAGGGGGGGGATGCTCTCCCCGGGGAGCACGGGAGAGGGGCTGGGGAGCCAGGCTGGTGGGGTGAACTGGCTCCTTGCTGCTAGCTGCAATCCGGAGGGAAGATCCATGCCTCTTCCTACTGAGCAAGGTCTGCCCAGGCAGAGCCAGTGTCTTGCTCCTGGATTTTGAAGGGTTAGGCAGGGCTGTCCCTACTGCTACCCTGGGACGTTGCCACAACCAAGCAGGAACAGAGCACCCACCCCTATATTTTATGCTGAGCCCAGTGCATGGCAGGCAGTGGGAGAGGGGTGAGTTGCCCACGCTGTAGAGAGCCCTGAAGTCAAGGGCAGGATCCAGTCCCTCCATCGCTGGGGACAGTGTGTGACTTGCTTTTGATTGCCAGCAGCTGAGGCTGCAGCAGTTTGCCAGACAAGCTCTCCAGGGAGCAGAGGTGCACTTCCCTCTCCATTTCTCTGGCACAGCAAGAGCTGGAAAGGGATTTGCTGTGGTGGTGATGCTGCCACAGCATCCTCTCTCCTGCGTGGGGCTGCGGCTGCCCAGGGAGGCTGCTGGGGCAGGGGGGGTTGGATCCACATCATGTTGCATTGCCCTGGGTACGTGATGCAGAGAAGGCTGGCCCTGATGATTTCAAGCCTTGTAAACCCAAATTCAGCTCCTGAAAGCTTATGAGCATCTTAAGCAATCATGAGAATCTAAAATCCAAGTTTGGGGAAGAGAAGCGGGTGCTCAGGAGTTGCCTCCCAATGCTTTACCACTTCTCAGCCTGCCCTGTGCAAGCTCTCCTTGTAGCTGCTGTGTCTGGGGATGCAAGGCTGGCTCTTTGGAAACAAAAACCTAAACATCTCAAGATCTTCAGGAAACTGAGCCCCTTTTCCACATTCCCACCCCCCAGATCTTATCACAAGATGTTAGAAGGGAAATTTGGGAGTCCAGAGCTCGGAGGAAAGGCCTGAGCTCACATAAGGATGCGGGGTGCCCTGCAGCTCTCCCCAGCTCCTCTCCTGCACCCCCCCTTGCCTGCAGAACGTGGGTTGGGGGCCAGGAGCGCTGCCCTTGCCCTGACCCAAGGGCCAGATCCTGGCAGCTGCACACAGACTCCCTGTATCTTGCAGGCATGACGACAACTGCTGCTATATACCATGTATTATGATATATGTTGGCAAACATGCAGGAGGGGCCGGGTGCTGTACAAGCAGAGCACTGAAATTATGCAACTAGGAGTGATGCCCCATCCCTCCCTCCAGCCTTTTTTCCCTTCCTTTTGCTTTTACTTTTGCAAAACAGGTCCTCAGTCACCCAAGCAGCAATCCCGACCTCAGCTCTGCCCCTTGGCATAGCCTGGCAGCCAGGGCACGGAGCAGGGAGGGCAGAGCCTGGCAGGGAGGAGCGCACGGTCAGAGCTCTCCTGTTACCACCCCGATTCTCCGCTTTGGTTTTGCTTCGTTAGCTGCAATCAGTCTGTTAACGAGGTCATGGCAGCTTGTGGAAATACCAGGCCACCTTCCAAAGGCTGCTGTCATTTATCCCAGCGCTGGAGTCTGCTTCTCATGTTGGAGCCCCGGCTCCCTGCATCACCCAAACCGTGCCCAGGGGTCCGGGGATCTGCACTGGCCGCCCTGCCTGTTGCAGGGGAGGTGTGAGGACCACGCATTGCTCCGTCCTTGCTAGCAGCGGGGTTCAGGCCCTACCGACGGGTGGTCACGAGCCAGAAGGTTCGATACCGAAGGCTGAAGGCACATCTCCTGCTGCTGTTTTCTCCTCTGCTCCCCAGAGCCGGTGCCCTCCCGCTGCGTTTCAGATGCTGCAGCTCAGCCAGAGACCCCGGAGATGACTGCGGAGCCTCTGTCAGCAACGGCTCCAGAGCAGCCAAAGCCCCAATCCAGCTTTGCTGCAGGGGGACGGGGAGTTCAATTAATTATTCCAGGCTTGTGTTTATTAGGGACTCCTGATTAATGGGCATGACTTTGTTTCCCAGTCAGAAATCAGGTGACAGTGCTGGTAAGGGAAATAAAACTCTCTCGGCACCCTCAGTGAGCAGATCTGGGCGCAGCCAGCAGCCCCGTGCGTGGGGCCTTGGGGGGCAGTGGGGCACCCCCCAGGGGGCTGGGGCTCAGGGCTGTCCAGGGGAGCCCACTGGTGATTGACCCCCCCACCCCAGTCCTTTCCTAGGTGCAGGTTCAGCTCTTTGGGGTGGGGACCCCTTCTTTACTCTCTCCCTCAGCTTGGGACAAGAGGGGACATTGCCCCCCTCGCCCCCATCTGATGTCACTGAGATTTCGTTACAGTAAGGTGAC